TAAAGACTTGAATTCAACATACTGTCATAGTGGATTTCCTAGCATTCACAGAAATGTTTACCTCTGAAGCTCTCAGTTGTACACTTGCCGCTTTATACTCCAATTCTAATCTGTTCTTCTCAGCAGCCACTGTAGTGCTCTGAAGAACCAGGTCTGCTTTGATGATGTTCAGCGATACGCAGTTCTAGGTAGGAAAATGGAAAGTGTCAATTTTTTTCCATGATAGACTCAAAACTGATATAACTACTATCATGTTTTAGAAACTGTGCATTTTTTAGCCATAGCATACAATCTCAAACTGTGCTCAGCTCTTCAACTGGGTTTTCTTCCAAATTCAGTTTAAGAAAGAAAAGCAACTTACTAGTGACCTACATACTCTTCAATGCATAGTCCACATCTATTCTTATTCTGCAAGCATGCATGTATCACCTGCAAAGAATTTAGGCTTGTACACCAAGCTAAGTAACGCTAAATAATTTATGCTTGTACACCAAAAAAAGTATGTTCTCTTTCTCTTCATCATACACTCACATGCAAACTGTGAGAATACATAAAGCTATCTCAGTTCTCTCTCAGAGATTGACTCCAACAGGTGGATTTTGTCACTCAAAAACACAGACAGAAAAGGGGCAAGAAATAAACGCGGGGCAAGATATAAGCCTCTCACTGGCAGTACAAGCTGAGTTGACAGTATGCGAAGTACAGTGCAGAAGCTGTGATATTCTCCCATGTTCTTGTACCCAAGAACAGAGGAGCAGGGTCTTCAAACAACCAATAATTACCGAGTATCATACAAGCCCTAGATGCCTCTCTGCTAGGACAGTAATCACTTCGCAGGTGTGCTCTCATGTCCTAATATAACTTGAACAAGTTAAGACAACAGAAGCACTAAAGCCTTGTAACAGGCTTTAGTGAACCCCACCATCTGGTTTGACAACTTTGACACAGAAATCATTGCTTCTTTAAACGAGCCAGCCTCAGGGATTCAAAAATCATCAACATATTCTGTAGTGCAAGAAGGATAGCTTCAATCCTGTAACTGCGAAGCAATCAGAAGACTGACTGGTTCACTGACTTTGTATTTCTGTGTTGATTACGAGAAAAGAATCTTCTCTCTTCAGGCAACATAGCAACAGGGTCCCAGCTGCAGACGTAGTGGACATGCAAGATGAAGTTTTGAGAGTGTTAGCATCTGACCATACTCATAGGTCACAGTCTGAGATCTTCATCATTTCTCATTTTAACACAAAATTTCCAATATTTCAACTTCCTCTCCTCTTTGGAAGAGATGTGAAAGAATACCCAAATAAAGTCCAGAATGAACTTGGAAACAAAAAGAAGTTGCATAGCTTTCAACCCACTTAGTCATTGGAAAAAAAGAAAAACCAAATGAAAAGAAAGTCTTAATGAAAGGAAACGAAAAATGGAAGCTAAAAGCCTATTCAAACACAACTGCACAAAAAGAACTACAAGCAAAGCTATGCCAGAATTTGAAATGGTAGAACAACTCAGTTTCTGTCAACTGCTTGTAAAGAACTCATTTGTGCCAGGAACACCCTGCCTTGTATGTTTATGTCTTGAACATTCATAAAGAAAGCACAGGCTCCCTTCTGTGGATACAGTAGAGAGAAGACAGTTCTGAATGTAAATACACAGGCATGTAATGCACTCTAGTGTCTTCATATGAGGTGACTATTTATCCCACACAAACCCTAGAACCTTGTAGAAAAGTAGCAGGCCCCATTGTTACCATGCAAAAACACGAAAATCCCATATATGCTTTTGGTTTCCTTCTGTGGCAGAAGTGAGCATCCCCTAACTATAGGGCTGGATAAGTCTTTGCCATTTTAGCCTGTAAATGATATAACTACAAAAACCTTTTGAAGACAGTAGAAAGACTCCCATAAACTTCAAAGCAGTCCTGAAGTTTGGTTTGCGGAGGAACAGAAATGTCAGCATTTCAATTATTTTGATAAACCATATAACGAAACATCTTTCTTGAAACCGACTATTTTGGTTTGTTCAGCATGTACCAGCATCTATTTCCTGCAGCATGCAAAGCATCAAAAGTAAGCTGATACACAACCAAAAGAAACCCCTTTTGTAATCAGTAACCATTTCAGGCAAACACCAGTTAGCCCTCCGCACCCCCACCCCTCCTGACATGCTGAGAAATACAGTGCATGTCTCAGATCCAGTTTCCTACACAGCGTAAAGAAGGGATTAACATACTGCTTCACGTGGGTTGTACAACAGTCAGTAAATGACTCCAGCTGAACTTTACAACAGTAACACGCTTTACATGGTTTACACACTGGGAAACGGGCACCTACTATAGAAGTGAACAGCATACTCCAGAAATTCCCACATTAAATGCAAAATATTTGTATAAATTTCAGTAGTTACTTAGCAGTGTTATTACCTGCACAACAAGTTCTGTAAAGTAATCTAGAAGCCTAAGCAACTGTTTCAATGTGTCAGGTATCTTCTGCCATTCTTTGGAAGTGGCTCTGGCTAGCTGACCAAAAGGTGATCTCTGAAACACTAACTACTGCTGTACATGGATATCAACACACAATAAGAGCACACCCGTTTGGAATAAATATGTATATATTTTTAAATATTAACAACTCAGCATACTGAAGTCAGTCTCATGTCAAAGGTCATACCCAACTCCTTCCAGGTGATAAGCTAGAAAACATTTCAACATATTAGTTAAGGCATGGCAAGGAAATAACATGCAGGGTCAAAGTGGTTGCAAGAACAGCATCATTTCTTGCTGAGTGCAAAAGCACAAGCAGAACCCACTGGAACTAACAGTAACTGTCTCTTGTTCCTCAGTTATTGAGAATACAAACTAAGATAGCTCACCTCAAGGCAGCTCCCATTGTAAGTGCTTACAGTTAAAGCCAAAGCAACAAAAAAAATCCAGAGTTGTTTTTTTTTTTTTTATTTTTTTGGCAGTGGGGCTGGTGGGGGTTGAGTGTAAAAAGGTATCTGGAGATATAAACACATGCACACACACACACATATATGTGACAACATCCCTCATGATACTGGAGCCTGAGACCCGAGTCCTTTTCCCATCCTACCCCCTATTCCACAATCACCGATTCCTACAGTGTCAGGTCAGTTCTTCCTTAGCGGCCATGTGAAAAATACAGTTAAAAGAGAAAAACGAATTATGCAAAGGAAATAGAGAAAAACTGAATGTAAAACACGTCTAAAAATATCAACGAACAAAACAGTCAAGTTGTAGGAATTATTTCTTAGTTATCAAATAGCAGCGGTCTTCTGTATGATGAACCAAGAGGAAGGAAGGGTGTACAGAAATGTGAAGTATGCTGAAAATGTACAGACTGAAATAGTTACACAGTTCACACTTATTTACTGGTTCACTCCATGCATCAGAAGACTTCAGTGAGAGAAAGCCTAAATCAAAGGAAACAAATACTACATAAATTGAGTTAACAACAGATGAACAAGTTCAAAAAGGTTTTTAAAGAAGTGTATCTTCAAGCAAGTTAGCTCATTAATATTCACGTGAGCATAGCCAAATTTTGCACATCTCCTAGTTATGTTACAGGAATTGAAATGAATTGAATTTTCGCAAGGGAACACTTATCAAAACAAACAAAAAACTATACCTTTATGAGATGCATTAATTCTGTAACAAGTCTTGCTTTTTGGACATTTATTTCTTTGATCTTCGTATTTGCTTGTTGAGATTCCTCTTCTAGGTTGATAGCATCTTGTTCCATCTGTCTTAAACTACGGGAAGAACCAATGTATATTGTTAATCCTGACTTTAAAAAAAAAAAAATAGTACAGAAACACCAAAATTCTTAACCTCATTTGCGCAGCAAGAAGAATTTGCATTTTTAAACATTTCAGCCATATTAGAGGAATTCCCAATCCATACATTTTAAAGGTAAACAATTCAGAAAACAAAAAAAGCATAATTAAAGAAAGCACAACACCTTACTTTTGTTAATTGCAGATTTTTTTTAAAAATAAATCAGTGCAACAACGACATTTTTCTTCTTTTTTAATTTCTTGTAACAACACAACATGGCAGAGTTAAGGAAGTTCGCTTAGTTCTTGCTATATATGTATTTGTATATGTGTATCAGTAAGAAATAACTGTGTTTTCAGCTACTGTGCACTGCAGAAAACTTTGACTTTTCCCTCATCCTAAATCTCAAAAGCGTGTAATAATGGATTGATGAACTTCAAGTTAAATAATTGTGCTGTTCAGGGAGGTCCAAAGCATTTGGAGACCTTCAAAAAAGGTCAAAAGGATAATCCCAGAAACTACAGACCAGTCAGCCTCACTTCAATCTCTGGTAAAATTACGGAGCAAGTACTCCTGGAAAACATTTTTCGGCACATGAGGGAGAAGGTGTTCAGAACAACCAGCAAGGATTTACAGGGGTAAATCATGCCTGACTAACCTGATCGCTTTTATGACAAAACTCCTCGATCTGTGGATGGGGGAAGGAAACTGTTTACGTTACTTACCTCAATTTTAGCAAGGTTTTGATGCAGTCTCCTACAATATTCTTTTATCCAAGTTTAAATGCTAAAATCTGGATGGGTTGACAACTAAATGGGTATAAAAAGGGTTTGAGTGTTGGATTCAGAGGGTCATGGTTAATGTGTTGCACTGTTCCTGGAGGCCAGTATCAAGTGGGATGCCACAGGGGTCTATCCTGAGACCTGTTCAACATCTTTATCAGTGAGTGACCTGGAGGAAGGGATGAAGAACGCTCTCATCCAGTCTGCACATGACAACAAACTGGGGAGTCCAACAGGGCTGCCATTCAGAGAGGCTTTGTCAGTTGAGAGGAACAAGTCAAGAGGAATTTGATGAAGTTCAGCAAGGACAAATGCAAAGCAAATGCAGAGCCATTCCTCTGAGGAGGAAGAGCCCCGGGCCACAACACAGGCTGGGGACAGGCTGGCTGGGCAGCAACTTTGTCAGGAAGGACCTGGGATCTTGATAGGCAGCAAGCTAAACAGGAGCCAGCGGTGTGCCCTCGCAGCGACAAGGGCCAACAGCAACTTGGGCTGTTTGAACAGAAGTACAGCCAGGTGGTTGAGGAAAGTGATTATTCCCCTCTGCTTTGCACTCTTCAAACTGCATCTAGATACTGAGTCCAGTTTTGACCCTCGCCAAATATACTAGTAGATGTTGAAAAACTGGAGTAAGTTCAGTGATGGACCACCAAGACAGTGAGGGGCTGGAGCACAAGTCCTATGAGGAGAGAGGGAGATTAGCTTGTTCAGTGTGGAGAAGAGGTAGCTTAAAGGGGCCAACCTAACAGCAACCCCTCTAGTATCCATGAGGAAGTCATTGAGAGAATAGAGCCAGGCTGTTTGAAGCGGCGCACGGCAGAAGGATGAGAGACAACGAGCATAAGTGGAAACAAGAGAGATCCAAACTGGATATCTAGAGACACTTTCTCCCAAACGAGGACAGTCAAGCAGTAGAACAGCTCGTCCAAAGGGGATGTGCAGTCTCCATGGAAGTTTTCAAAATGAGACACAACAAAGTCCTGAGCAACCTGGTCTGAATTCAGTGTTGACCTTGTTTTGAGCAGGTGGTTGGACTAGAGACCTCCTCAAGTCCCTTCCAACCTGAGTGAGTCTATCATTGAATATTAACTTCAAAATTACATACAACTTTATTTAGAAATTCTGATAAAAGAATTGGAAACGAATTATGTTTAAGAATGGTTATAATCACTGCAAAGACTATTTATCTCATTTCTATCTCTACCGAAAAACATCTGTACTATATAACACAGCTGGTAAGAGCCTTTTCTGCAATTGTCAGCGTTCTTCCCCTCACTTCAAAATTAAAGAATGAAGTCATGTGTTCTGAAGGAAGATTTAATCAATATTCAGGTAGTTTAGGTAGAGGGTCCATCTCTCTCCTGCCTTTAAACAGTATTCTTGTAAAACACTACAACAACACAGAGAACAAACATATCTGTATTCTTAAGAGACCATAAAGTAAGCAATAACCTTTGAGGCTAAGCTCGCTCATTTGTTTGGCCACTTGCAACCACAGTGCTTGACTCTGACCCCACAGTAACATTCCTACAGCCCTAGGTTTTTTTTTTTGGGGGGGGTGGGGGGGGGGATATGCTTCAGCTTTTCCAATCCAGTGTGTGGAAAGCGGCGTAAATCCACGACCTCAGAGACTTACCCACATTCATGACCTGAGAAGGGAGCATCTGCCGCGGGCCAGGCTGGCTGCCGGGCCGCAGGGGGAAGCCGGCTGTGGGGG